ATATACTCGAAAAAAGAAGGGTATATCACAATATATATAAATGGAATAAAGAATAACAATTAATAATGATATCCGAAAAAGGAACAGACTCACAGTTTTTTGGCTTGGTGTACCAGATCACGTCAGATTCACCACTGAAGATACGACTAGTTTTCTAGTTTGACAACTAGCAACCAGTAACGCCTTCTATATTCAAATGGTTCAAATGGTTGAGGACGGAATAGAAGAAGCTTTCGCTTAACGGGCTTCCGTGTCTGGTAGCAGTGGATCACCAATACCTCCAGGCAAGAACCTAGGTATATGAACGATAATAGAGGGAAAAAAAGAATTTGGTAAATCATAATAACATGTTATCCTTAGTCCTTAAGAATAAGTCAAGTTTCCTCTTAAAGGACTCCTGGGAGGTCGCTTGGACTAGCTCAGTCGGCAGCGAATTCCAGCACTTGACAACTCTAACGGAGTAGAAGTTGTGTCTGCAGTCTGTTCTGCTATGTAGGGTCTCCAATTTCTGGGTGTTACCTCTGAGGTTAGTGTTATGACTAAGCTTAAGAAGTTGTTTAAGGGGATGACCAGAAGTATTAAGGATACTATAAGTCATAAGAAGATCACCTCTAAGACGCCTACACTCTAACGGGTAAAGGTTAAGTGATTTGAGGCGCTCTTCATAAGGTTTGAATTTGAGACCCCGAACTGATTTCGTGGCTCGACGTTGTATACGTTCCAGAGTGACCTTATCCTTTTGGAGGGAGGGAGGAAATACTATGTTTCCGTACTCTAAGTGGGGACGAATAAAACTGTTGAAGATTATGTGGAAGGTTCTACCGTCAAACTGGCCAAAAATGCGCTTCAATGTTACCAGTGCAAGGTTTGCTTGAGAGGCGTTTTTGTCACAGTTCGCATACGATTTCAGGTCGTAGGGTACCAACACTCCTAAATCTTTTTCAACTTGGGAAACTTCTAGAGGTGAGTTACCTAAGTTATAACTATAGTCTGCAACATGTCTCAGATGGACTACCTTGCACTTTGAAGTGTTGAAGGTAAGTCCGTTGTCGTCTGCCCAACTTTGAAGTCGGGTCAGATCCTCCTGAAGAACTAGTATATCATTATGATTACGTATCTCTCTCTCCAAAGTTTCACATCATCAGCAAAAAGCAATAAGTCAGATGAAACTTGTTGAGGAAGATCGTTTATATAAATCAAGAAGAGAAGAGGTCCTAGTATTGAACCCTGGGAGACCCCACTAGGACATTCCATAGCCTGAGAGAGAGTGAAGTTAACCCTGACCTTAAAGTGTCGATTTTCTAAATATGAAGAGAGCCAATCAATTAAAGGGGGTTTTATACCCAATCGTCCAAGCTTCTTGATAAGACCTGCATGGTTGACACTATCAAAAGCTTTTGAGAAGTCCAGGTAGATGACGTCAACCTTCTCCTTGCGATCAAGGATGGTTGTTCATCTATCTACCGCAGTCAGCAGGTTGGTCATACAAGAATGACCTTTTCTGAAACCATGCTGTCGAGGTGAGAAGAACCTTGAGGATGATAGGTGTTCTAGTAAGCCGTCGAATATTAGGGATTCCATAATTTTTGAAGGTATAGAGAGAAGGGCCACTGGTCGGTAGCTTGAGGGTTCACTGCGTCGATCTCCTTTGAAAATTGTTGTGATGTGGGCCAGCTTCCATATTTCCGGTAGTTTGCCTCTGCTTAGCGAGTGTGCAAACATCACGCTAAGTGGTGTCGCCAGGATTGAAGCTGGTTCCCTCAATACAGCGGAATGAACCATGTCCGGACCAGGAGAAGTGTCCTTTCTTAGGTTCTGCAGTTTACGGAGCACCAGGCCAGCACTCAGGTCCACTTCGGAAAGTCCTGTACAGGTGCAGGTGAAGCTTTCGTCAGCATAATTGATGTGGGTCAGCTGGAATGTCCGGGAGTAATGTTCAGCCAAAAGGTCAGCGGCATCACTGTCGTTGTTGATCGGGCCATTAGGACGAAGCAGTTGGGAAACTCCAGTTTTGCCTTGTCGAAGAGAAGCTGCATAACTGAACAAGCTTTTCGGATTGGAGACGAATCTATCGATAAGCTTGGTCTGGAACTGAAGCCTGTCTTCTCTTATTGCCTTTGTGCATATGTTCCTTATATTTTTGTATTGCCTGTACGCGCCGTTGTTATCAGTTCGTTTATATTCAGCCCAACAGTGCCTTTTGCGGCTTAGCAAACGACGAGTGCGGTTCTTGATGATTGCAGGTTGCATGTAGCTTTTTTGGGACCATTTTAAAAACTGAATGCTCAGTAGCACATAAGATCGTGTGCAGTAAAAAATCCCAATGAGCATCCACTTCAATTTGAGGGTGAACATCCCATTCCACCTGTTGTAGATAGTCCAGTAAAGCTAGCACATTCAACCGTTTGAAGTTCCAGCGCTTGTTGCTAGTAGGATATCGTAGCTCCGTCTTGCTGACAAAGCTGAATGATAAGACGGCGTGATCACTTTTCCCCAGGGGAGCCAGGATTGAGAGGTCGTCAACTAGGAATTCTTCATTTGTGAATACCCAGTCTAAGCGTGACGGCGTCTGACTGTTTCTCCAACGAGTTGCCGACTTCACGTTTTCAAATAATCCCAGGTCGCCGATAAGGTTGAAGAACAGAGCTTCAGTAGAGTTGGCACCACCAATGTATGTATGTTCCACGAAGTTGATTCTAGGAAGATTGAAATCCCCTAGAATCAGGATATGAGAGAATCCGAGACGCGTAGAGCGAGTTAATCCTTCCAGCAGACGTTTGTCATATTCGATGTCGGCAGTGGGCTTCCTGTAAACGACCCCAACTAGGCACCTTGAGGTGGTAGATAATCTTACTGAGCACCATACTGACTCGTCAAGATTGCGAAACTCTTGGTTGTGAAGTTGGTGCACCTCCAGGCATGACCATACGTATAGTGCTACCCCACCCCCCATTCCTGTTTTTCTGTCGTTGCGAAATAAAGACATCCCAGTTATTGCTAACTCTTGGTCCGTAAACTGAGACGTTATCCAAGTTTTAGATATTCCTATCAGATGGGCATCATTAGCGTTGCTAAGTTCACGTAGCTCATCCATTTTGTTTGGCAAGCTCGCGGCGTTCGTGTATAGACAGTTTATGCTTTCAATTTGGAACACGTGAGCCTCTTCTTGTTTGTCTATATGAGCCGTGTGTGAGTGGACAGGTAGCCTACCTATACGATGTTTACCGAGTTGGTAGTCCCTGTCCTTTACACGTTTTTTTATGATCAAGACAGTCCACGAGTGGAATTGTCAGCTCCAGCTTTCGTTTGTGATTGATCCTGCTGTCATGGGGCCTATCCGGTTGCATATGGATGCCAGTTGGCAACCGACGTCTATTGGCACGAAATGCTTCCAGAGTTGCAGCCGCCATGTGGGAGGAGGGTAAGGTTATCTTCAACAGCCGGGGCCTAGAGTCTCCGTCTCTCTTGGCCAGTCTCATTACCTGTTGGGTCAATATGTTCTTGAGTTTTAAGGAATGCTTGATGAATTTCCATTCCCGAATATCAGAGTTTGCTTGAGTTGGGTCCATATTTTCCGGCACACCTTGCACAATGATATTTCGTCCACGGAAAAACGCCTCGCGAGATTCCTTAGGGATGTTCCGGATAAGATTTCGTTCAGAATACGGTATGTCGGGCAGTATTCTTACGTTCCCATCGGACTTCAGTATTATGACAGAGTCGTCACGAACCGCAATTGATTTCCCAGGTTTTCCAGGGCGTCTAGGTTTGGTATCTTGTTGTTCGGATGTCGAGGCGCGTTTTCGATTCCTGGGCTCAGTGATGACAGGGCGGACAGTCTTGGGTGTAGACTGTGCGGCCAAAGCATCAATTGATTTCCGCACGATACTTGGACGTTCAGTTTCGGAGGGGACGCTTGGGCTTTATTACTCCTGTTAACGTGAGTCCATCCACCTACAGGATTTTTGTGAACCACTGTCTCATTCAAGGACCGTTCCCCGGGGGACCCAAGTTTACTGAGGGAGTCGATGACAGTCGATGTTAAGATGGTGCTGAGTTTCAGCACATCATCACTCGTGCTGTTAACAGCACCGTCGATAACCGACCTGTCAGTATCCTTTTTCTTATTTGCCCTATGCGTTCTAGCTCTTACCCGTCATGATGCTATCATTTACCGAATTCTTAGACAACTTATCTCTCAGACCTGTCAGTAAAGTAATGATAGTACCCAACATAACTACCGTATCGGTGTTGCAGGTAACACATACCCACCTACGATCAGACTTGCTGAGTCTGCTATAGGCTGCTGCTGTTAGATCTGTACATGCCTCATGGAACCAACCTTTACAGTTGTCACATTGCATGCAAGATGTAACGGCAAAACGGCAACCAGGTCTCTTGCATGAATTTTTCATGGCTAGTGATTAAGACACAGCAAAAGTTTGAGAAATATAAATCACGTTAGGACTAAACTTCCCGTTCGAATAGCGCGCTTTTTTTCGAAGCTTTCTCCAACCGAATGAAATCAGAAATCACATGCGAAGGGATCGGAAAGATATATTTGATACGTTATCAATATTATCAAGAAGTGTTTGCTCTAATCTGGCTGGTGAACGTGGAAGCTGTGTCCCACGCTGGTTCGAAACGTGATCTGGTATGGATGCATGCCCGAAAGCCTTCAGTTAAACGAGTCCACTCAAACGATGTGGTCAGCATCCAATGTCGAACACTTAGAAAGCCATTGATTTTGAGGAATTATTTACAGCTACAGCTTCTATTCCTCCGAGAACGATTTGGACCATTCGATAAAAAGTGCACTGCTGCCCTCTGTGTTTCGCTAAAGGCAAAGAGAAATTGAGTGACAACTGCGTAACACCATGAAATGAGAACGAAAAACGAAATATTATATGCTAGCCTGTTAATATGATATGGGATATTGAATGTAGAGTTTAACACTACTTTAAGCCCGCGTCACATTCCGATTTTTCGGCACGGTAGCGATGTTGAACCATTCGTTGTATCCTGAAAACTACCGACAGATAGGTGAAAGTTTCGTAATGGAGTACTACGATACAATGCAGCGAGATAGAAGTTCTCTCAAACTGTTTTATCACGTAGTCGGTTCATTCATTTAAATGTTTGTTATAGAATCAAGCAAGGATGACATATGAAGGTGATGTGTTAGAAGGTCAAGATAAAATCGGTGAAAAATTCCTTGTAAGTTTTCTAAGAACTCAAACGGTATTTTTCAGTCACTTCCTGCTAACAAAATTCAAGTGGGTATAACTAATGTTGATGTTCATCCGAACGAAAATGCTGTCCTTATTTTTGTCTGTGGACAAGTACAGGTAAGAAATCATACTTTTCTCACACCCTAAAACTTAATTTGATAAATACGTCTGGAACTAAAATGGCATTTTTTGGCTTAATATGTGTTACAAAATGCTTGAACTAATGAAAACGTCATACAAGGATATGTTCAATGTCTACAAAAATTCATAACGGCCAGTTTTCCTCATAAACTGAACATCGTGAGTTCACTTAGACTACAGAGTCGAGGGTTGTGCGACATGCTCATTCGTTAATGTCCTCAATATATCACCAGCTCTATTCCTATTGGGGAAATTTTATTAATGGACGATTTTCGTATTTAACAAGGGTTAGCCAGTTATCAAGACTTTCCATAACCATGTTACTGATATATTTCCTGTCTAGGCTAATCAACGATGTTAGTCAAAGTAAATTTCACAGAAGTTGACCTAGTGAAAGTTGTTTGGAGAAAAACACTTTTGGTAAAGCCATCAAGCTCATAGAAACTGATAATTAAGAATCGTGTGTGTTAAGGGTTATAATCTGTCGCGTTTGCGTTGCCGCCGCATGTCTGTATGTGGGTGTCTTATATAACTATGATTTACAGTTGATGGTTAGGGTTAGGAATTAGATTTAGAATTTTCAATACGAACTAACATCAGATAAAATGCCAAAGCTCTACTTAGTCAAATGGATGAATAATTTAGCGCCTGAGACTTGTTATCGTGAGTCTTACAGGTTCGTCTTGCCAGTGTTCATATGACAAAGTACTCTTCCCGTCACTAATATTTTACCGAACATCTGTCAGTAATATCGGTGATCTCGGACTAGTCATTTGATGGAATTTCCCATCCCTAATGTTTCCTTTTGTCCATCATCCAAAATAACTTATTTACTAGTTCATTGCTCTATTATCAAAACCTGGTTTACGTCTTTGCCGTTCTTATTAAGTCTTTAACTGCTAACTTGTTTACATTTTCTATGCATTTTCACTGTACTACTTATGAACACCAAGTAGACACAGGTTATCTATAATTCAAACCCTTACAAGTTTCATAACCTACACCAGTTGATTGGAGTTCAGATCAAATATTGTGTATATGAATCAAGATTGCTTATATACCTTTACATATATCTAGTCAGCTAAGTTTTAAAAATCGCAGTTGCGACCTATCTTCTAAGGAGGTACTTTTCGTCTAGTTTTACCAAATCAAGTGTGGGATGACTGAAGGGATTCAAAAATGTTCAGCAATTTTTTTCAACTTATTGTGACAGCAATTTTGTTTTCCGTCATTACTAACTAAAACCTACCTGTACTTAAATTAATGTCCTAAAAGGTATTGTCTCAAATTAGGTCTCAGTAGATGGTCACCACAAACAAAATTGCATACCAATCTTAGAAGTGTCACTACGGTTTTCTGCTTTGTCTGGTTGTACTTGTTTGTTGAGTCCGACCTCCTACAAAATTATTTTTTAGATAAGACTCACGCTACAAGAGCTTACAAACCAGTAAAGGTGCGTCTAAGTTTGAAATTATCCTATAATATATTCTCAACAACTATGTCTGTATTCTTCAGCATGATCACTTTCATTTCCCTATGTTTTTATATCTTTTTTAGTGTGATGAAGACCAGGTACTACCGTTTTGCGAAGTGTTTTTCCTTCGCAAATTCAACAATTGTTTCCTCATCACTGATTCTATGTTTCGTTTGGGTTTGCATAATTTCTAACATGATTTTTATTATAACACGTATTCAACTATCCTAATACTTGTTACATTTGCATGTGCTTGTTAATCATTGGTGTCCTGTTGCAGCAGAAAATTGATCTCTTGGATAAACTATGTTGCAAGCATATATTTATTGTACTATGATGTTTGTAAACAATAACTTTCTATCTACTACTTCTTATTACCTATGTCATGGAGACTTACTCGAATACAGAAGCACATGCGATTAGATTTTGCTTCATTTGGTCCAAAATTTACTACTTACACACAATGATGTGCTTTTCATCAATCACAGCAGCAAAAGCAAGCTGACCACAAGTAGATGCTTTGATCCTATCATGTTCTCGTTCTCTCAGTGGATCTCGGCATTATTTTTAATCCTATTGTTATAATAGTCTTATGTTTCAGAATTAATGAATCACTTCGCAATAGCTCGGATGATATTATAACGACTTCAAAATAATTGACTAAGTAATGTCTATACATACTTTCGCAGAACAGTCAGTACCCTTTATATTTACATCAAGTGAATCCGAAATCCGATTTGACATCGGTCCATTCACAATAAAATGAGTGAACATACCACCGTACACCCAGCCTTCATGAATCTATATACAAACATTGATAGTAACTTCGGCCCAAACCATTGAGAAACACTGATAAGTCTTTCGTAACTAGCAATCCCTTCGTAATATTTTTCGAGGAAGAAACACTGAGCTCCAATCCACGCAAGTCAAAAACAGTTGCGTATATATCTTAGTGTTGTTATTAAACCTCGATTGTGAATAAACAGAAGTCTAAATAGCTTGTTTCAAATGATAGCCTTGTAAATGTCTTGCGATTTGTAATTCTCATTACCGTACCGTGCATCTGGTTTTAAATGTTTGAATGCAGTACTAAAGGGTTTTGATTATTTCTAGTGAGCAAGCCAGCTTGATTCGTGAGAAAAATAAATAATTCGCTAACAGAGCTGCACCTTATATATCCGGTCGATACTGAACTCAAAAATCCCAACTGCAGATTTCCGATTGATATTTGGTTCCGATAAGCAGATGCTATTATTACTAGTAGAAGTGCTTCATCCACACACTAATTTCCGTTCGTTGTTCTTTCTATTCTACGCACTTTATATTATCTGTCTCTTCGCAACCTCGCTGTTATTGTGTAGCGCAAATGTATTTGGTGCTCCCTTGTACCAATGTTTATGTGTTCAAATAAATAAATAGTTGTTGGCGGAGTTAAGGGTTTCGTCAAACATTTTTTTACAATATTCCTTATATATCCGCTTATCATTTAGGGAGTTAGTGTCGCCCTACGTGCACCATTAAGTTATGCGATAATATAATGAAGATTCACAACTTCATCAACTGAGATTGTTGGGCCACGTGTTACGTATGCCTGAACACCGATTACCACGACGCGCTATGCTCACTAGTATTGGCGATGGTTGGAAGAGAGTTAGGGGCGGTCAAACCAAGACGTGGCATCAGTGCTTGGAGTCATTAACTTATGGTCTGTGACATGTTAGTAGATGCAGCCTACTTGGTTGGGTTCGCGCGACTCGTAACCAATGTCTGAAGACTCTAGGTGACATGGCTCAGAATCGATTACAATGGAGTAGGTGTATACACTCTCTGTCTTCCCTTAAACCTTGAAATTAAGATTGCTTCATATCTGTCTTTCTTCCTGTACTATATCCTTATATACTACCATCACTAAATTAACTACTATGAATTCTGTGTTCATCTTGTTGTGCTAATTAGGTATGAGAACATGGACCTATGCATATATGTGGCTGACTGATTGCTTGTTGTTTCTGTGCATTCGCACGTCGGGCTTATCCTGTTCGATTCAGTCGTAGTACACACTTCCTAGTACATGTCCGGCCATTCGTACACAGCAAGAAATTTGAGTTGGATTTAAAGAGTTACTGCCGCATAAGCAAAGAAGCAAGACACCTAATTATATCTAATATTTATTTATTTATTTAAACACATATATATTGGTACAAAAGGGCACCAGGTACATATGCGCCACACAAAATAATGAAAGTAGGAAGAGAAGGGATGAAAAGATAAGGCGGACTAAAATGTACAACCAGAAGACTCTTTCAAATAGGAAAGTAAGAACCATACTTTATGTAGAAAGTAAAAGAAGGTTGCAGCAGGATCGCCACTGGTTTCTATTCTGAGCCATATCTGATAACGTCTCTAGCCACTGTGTTGGCATTCACTTTCAACCAGACAGTGACTGGAGATCGTTTAGATAGGACAGATTTTCCACCAAGAGCGAGCTGATGCATAAGCTGAAGAGTAAGGTTACACAAATTGGGGGTAAAAGGGGGTGAATTAGCGATATGGTAAGTAATAATAATAATAGTAATAATAACAATGATAATAATAACGTAAATTGTCTTGCTTATAATATGAGCAGGAATAGAATCGTCAATAGAGTTCGTCATTTCATTCATTTGTGTGTGGGCTGTGATACTGCCCGGGTGCCCAAACCGAAGCAGGTGGTTTTCTTAGGGGGCCACACCCGGAGCCTTTGACCTAAAGGTCTGATCCACAAGGCAGTGGAGCATCGTGAGGAGATGCAGTCCCATGGTAGTCGTTAACCAATGACAGGTTCTTCCGCCATTCGTTCCATCAGGAAAGTGGAGCCCATGTGCACCATTGGTTTGGAATCAGGGTTTTCCAACTCCCCTAGGTGGACCCTCCGTGTCCACCAATCCGGTTATAGCGCCGGACATTCGCTTTTCGTCCTCTCACTTTCGTAAACAACACCCCCGCCACGAGAAGGCAGTGAGTAGGACTTCCCTGGCGGAGGCTATATATTCGCTGGCCATATGAGAGCATTTCGAGAGGGAGAGTAGACTCTCCCCACTCTCGGCCGTACCAGGGCATTTGGGGGCATATCTAATATTAGGCTGGTCCAGGTGTGTGTAAGTGGTGCGTGAATTTGACGAGATGAATAATTCATTTGAGATAACGCCATCCGCACTTGAGCTTCTCGTATACTATGTCTTCCGAGCAGGATTTGATATCGGAATTACCCAGTTTATCAAAACATGTATCCAATAGGACTAGTAACTTTAAATGATTTATTGCTGATGGGAATTGTTCAAATAGTATGAGCTCGTTTTCGGCAATGTTTGTCTTTCTTGCTGTATTGTAAGAAATTCACCTGTATGAAACTGTTCTGGAAAATACTATTGAGCTGTCTTACGAGTCATATTATTTTAAAATTTGAAACTAGTATCTAAATAAACCGGACTAAATATTCACATGAGCATCGTGTGTATTTTCCTGGAAATTTACTAGCCTGCGACCACTCTTAAAAGGATATATACTACTTCGTCACTAACACTGGCAAGTACTTTTGGAACACACTATTGGCCCCTTTAACGGTAGTTTAGGTAGTTTTTTTCTGCATATGTATTTGACTCCTTTATTTTAGATATCCGACTTTATGGGGTAGTATTTTATTATCTATATCAATCCATTCAAATCACAAAGGTTCTGTCCTTTGCATTGCCGGCAATCTCCTAGATCGCTCTACATATTATATCCATGCTGGGCAAATACTTAACCGCTTTGTCGCGGAAAATTCAATATAGCACTTGTAGGTTATAAACCACCATCACCTCTATTATTTACCATTATAATATCATTGCGTACATCACAGTTAAACGAAGGATAATTAAACACAGGTTTGAGAATCGAGTTATTGAGTATGGAAAGGCATATTCCATTCTTAATGACTTCGATAAACTGTGGTACAAATATGACGTCAATTTGTATGTCATTGGTTAAAATCTTGGCACAACCCTCCCCCCTAAGCTAATATAAAGTATGTTTTTTATTAGCAGAGATTATTAAAGTTGTAATTATTAAGTCTTGCTTAATGACCGAGCGTGTGGGTTTGATTACTTATAAATTATATTAACACTTAAATCAAAATAAATTTGATAAGGCATCCGTCTAAAGTATGGTATTGAATTAATTCGTTTGTCAATTTAGTACATTCTTGGTAAGTTATCATCAATGTTACAGAATATAAATACTAGTAAACACGGTTTACAAGGAAAAATAACCATTTGAATCCGGTGTACTTATTATTTTGCTTTATTTTTTCTGTTTTGGGTAATATCGAATTAGTTAATATGATGTACTGAATAAGAAAGAGGGTTACTTCCGACCACCGAATCGCACTGGAACTGTTATATGATAACTTCAAACCATTTGTCGAAATCCAGAAACCCGTCAATAATATATTTTAGGAACTCATCAAAGATTTTCGAGTCTATTCCGTGTAAATGAAAATCAAAAGGATGTTGCAGAATCTCATCATAACTCTTAAAATGATTCATTTTGGTACGCAAACCAACACCATCCATTTGTCGACGTTTTTTAAAGTCAACGCCTGCATTAATTATTTGAGAATAAATTAGTATTATAATTAGTGTAATTAGTATTGAGTTATTCATATTTCTTTCAAAATAAAAATTCCAAATATATGGTGAATGTTTGATACGTCTGATAATAAAAATTGAGTTATTAGAAGTGCCTCATATATATAATGCTAGCATAAGAGCGTGGTTGTTTGTCTCATGCACTTTGACTTACTCGTTTATATGCATTCGTTGTTTCTGTTTTACTTATGCACTTAATATGGATTGTAATTGAGTACAATAATTGTCGTTTTGCAATGCACCAAATACTCTTAGTACGTAAAGTTCCAGAAAAAGCAATTCTGATCAAAACAATTTTGTTGAGTGGGTGTATTGTTTTTATTATTCATGTAACAACTAGTATACCTGTCATCATACTGTAAAATAGTCCTGTTTACTTATTTTGTTTATTCATATAATGCACCTCGTTGTTATCATTAACTCATAAACTGTCTTGACCGCTTGATATATGTATCTAAATGTTACTGTATATTGGATTCAAGCCTAAGATCTAATTAAAAAGAATACTGATGTGATTCACACTGCGA